CCATGGCATGAATTACAACAAGAAAACCTACTCAGAGCACAGACGCCACAAGAAAACAGACAATGGGGAGCGTATAACCTTTATTAAAGGGACACTGCTGCAACTTAGTGCTGAACTTCCATAAGGCTGGGTGACTTGCAAAAAACAGATGATAAAAGTGGTCAAAACAGATTTGAATTGTGACTGTTTGGTCTCAAGGGTGGAGGTTTTGTGGCAACACTTTGGGAGACATATGAAACACATTTGAAACGTGGGGTTTGGGGGTCTTCTGGCAGAAATTTTGAAGTGTCAGACATTTAATTTCCTGCATTCTGGTGAATGTTCATGCACCAATTTGTGCAGAAAGTACAGATAATGTTTAATACAGAATATGAGTGTACAGATTATCAGATGATTTGTAAAAATGGAGCCAAAATATACAGGAAGTAAGGTTGCAGTATCGAGCTCATACACCTATCTGACCCAATCCTGAGCAACGCCGTTGATCGCCGGCACACTGATTGACACACAGCTGCCAATCATGACATCACCCTCCCTTTTTTATAGCATCAAGTAACTAATGAAAACCAAGCTTATCGGAAAAATTAACACAGCCATCTTGCGCGCCCTCCACCTCCCCATCACTACATAGTCTTTATGGATTCATCAGCCGCATACGCCTCAGCAGTCAGCAGCCTCAGAGTCATCAGCCACCACCAACACCACCAGTGTCTGGACTCCATGGGGGGATTTATGCTGCTCAGATGCCCCTCGATCACAAAATATCTCCCAAGCACCAAAGACGTCTGTTAAATCTTAATGGAAATGGAGACATGTTGTCTGTCTTTATTTATATACATTCTAAGAAAGAAATTGTGTGTCGTCAATATTAGAACTGAAAAGAATCGAAAGCTTCAGACTAGTGTTAAAGAAAGTTTTTCTTACTCTTACTCTATTTTCAATTCTATTTACATGGATTCCGAGTCGTCTGCATATTTACTGCAACATCTTTGTTTTCCATCTTCCAAACAAGAGCTAACAAATTTGTCAGATATGCCTAGTGACGGCTCAACTGCCTGTTTCATCAACAGAGCATACAAAATATATTCCTCATCCTGAAATTCCATTTCTGTGTTGTTTGTCATCATGTTAAAATGCATGCCAGAAAAAGACTAAATAAAATATTTTCCCCTGCAAATGTGTCCCCATAAAATACAAATGCTGCACAAAAGGTGAGCCCGCAGGACAGTCTGTAAACATTTTGTGGTGTTGATCCCACCGTGCCGCCCGGGGACGGTGGGATCAACAGTGCAGTGGTTAGCGCTGTCGCCTCACAGCAAGACGGTTCCAGCTTTGAACCTGCCAGCTGGCTGAGGCCCTTCTGTGTGGAGTTTGCATGTTCCCCTCGACTCAGCGTGGGTTTTCTCCAGGTTCTCCGGCTTCCTCCCACAGTCCAAAGACATGCAGGTTCATTGGTAACTCTAAATTGTACATAGGTGTGAATGTGAGCATGAACGGTTGCCTGTCTCCGTGAGTCAGGCCTGTGATAGTCTGACAGCCTGTCCAGGGTGTACACTGTCTGTCGCTCGGTCCATCTAGGATAGGCTCCAGCACACTCATGACCCTGAACCAGGATAAGTAGTCATGGATAATAAATGGATGAATGACCGCACAGTGGCCCTGAGAGCTCAAGGCCCTGCAAATGAAGAGAACACGTGCAAATAGACAAATAAAGAACATCTCTGCCAATTTGCTCAGCACATGCACAGCACTTGTAAAACAGAAATTTAACTCTACATTTGCTGCATTTAGAAAAAAGCTGCAAAAAGAAAAACATGCTGCAAGAAGCTTACATCAGTGAGGGAAGCTGTTCTCAGGAGACACTAAAAAGTGATGCATAATAATAGGCAAAAGGCTAACACTAGGTTAACAGCAGATATCGACAATGATATCTGCGGGAGCCTCCAGATCTAGAGTTGTCTTTCTTTGGTCTGAATCAGGGACTAGTTTTGTTTCAAAGCTGTATAATTGCCTAGAGTTGGTTCATGTTCTCACGGCAGCATTTACAAGCGGACCAGATAAAATGCCTTGTGTGAGAAAGCTTCTCTTGATTGGTCAGAATTTCCATGAAGGAAAAATCCAGGAAGTAAACAAAACGTTGAAGAAAAGTACACTTGCAAGATAAATGTGACACTTTCTAATGTCACAATGGAGGGACAACTACGCAGGTTGATTTTAGCGCTGCTCATCGTGGACTATATTGCTGTCATTGTTCATTTTAGTCAAACCATACAGTTTGAAAACGAGGCGCGGCTCCAACTAGAAAACAATGTTTTGATGCATTGGATGTGCTGAATGTGCATATTAAGGCAGTACAGGAGGAGGTGCACATTAATAATCCTCCAGGACTGTAACATGCTCATGTTTAACACAAACAATGTGTCATGTGACTGCAGTTGGTTCACATCCAGGTCGGAACACATTCTCACCACAAACGAACCGCACTAGAGTTCATTTGTAAACGGACCGAGACCACTTCTTCAAGAAGGTCTCGGTCTGGTTAATTTGCTGCTCATCCGAGCGCAATGGCTGTGTTCACACCTGCCAAAACAAACCGCACTTAGTGGGCAAAGGAAAAACAAATTCCCCTCCACCACCACCATTATAAAACAGACGTCTGTAAAACTGTTAACTGGACACCTTGAACTGCAAACACAATCAATTATGACTCATTCTATTGTGGATTTTTGATCCATGGAGGCTTAATATCTCTAAATCTTCCCTCGAGTCAAGAAAAGTGGTTTAAAAATCTGTGATGTCATCACAATGTAAAGTCTATTGGCCATGCTTATTCAGTGGGTTGCATACTCTGGAAGTAAACCCAGTAGCTAGAAACGTTTTAGTTGTGTGCGTCATGCAAGCAGTTAAATAGGTGCCATCTTGGGGTCCAGTCCCCCCCAGTCCAGTCATGACAATACATCTGTGGCCACAAAGCAGCCATGTGCGTTGCATTTTAGTGTCCCCTGGAAACATTATCTGTTGTGATGTAAAATCTCTGCAGTGCATTTTTTCTCTTTGCAGCACTTTTCCTAAAGCTGCACATGTGTTGTCAAACTGGTGCGAATGTTTCTTCATTATTGTGTGTACTGCAAGTGTTTTCTTAATTTGCAATGCATTGAGCGCTCAGTGCCACCTTATGATCCACAAATGAATGAGATAACAATTATGTGTACATGCGGTTTAAGATATTTGGAGTGGGATTTAGCCTGTAAGTACACTTCTGTGCAGCTCTGTAGAGGTTTATAGAATAGTGTAGAATAAATAACTCATCATCTTTCCCAGCAGGGAAGATGAACTATTTGAAACTGCTTCATTTACCTGCTTTAAAATAACAGAAAATGCCATGACATTATTTTTATACTAATTTTATACTATTTACTCACTTTCCCACCTGAGAGCTGACCCTCAGTGACCAGCTCCACTGCACCATCAGGTTTGGTTTTGGTGTCTTTAACAAGGATATCTTCACGGCAGATGTTTCGTCAGCTGCATTTTCCAGTTGAGCTGTGGATTTCAAGCACAGATCTGCCTCTCCGAATTTGAGGCTGGTGAGTTACATAAAAGGTTTGCTGACTAGCCTCTCTCAGAGGCAGAAGAATGAGCACGGCTGCTGTTCATGGAGCTGACATTACAGGCCAGACTGTGGCTGTCCACTTTGTTTGGTTCTGAATCAGTGCTCACACGGCATACATGAAGAGCATGTTATTTTTGGGAGAACACACAATGAAACACTGAGGGAAATAGAAACTCAGCACCCCCTGGTGTTGGTACTGAAGCCCAGATTTCCTGAGTTATTTGTCCCAGTTCATGTTTTAACAAATGCAAAGGCACAAGCGGACATTCATTAAAAACCAATTAATGGTCGCATGTATAGGAGCTTAGGACATGTCAATCAATAGGTCATTCAGATCAGTAAATAAAGTCCTCAACATTGTTTCTGAGACTTGAATGAACCCTTTTCCTTTCACATTTTTATTTATTAATGTTGTTATTTTCTTAATGTGTTACTGTCTAAAACCTCAAGTCAAAGTTTATTAAATCCCAGTTTTACAAAGCATGCCTCAAACTGCTGTACAGGTAAAAATTTTGATTTCATTTTAAATTTTATATAAAAAGTCTGATATCAAAAATAGCAATTTGCCTCAGAGTCAGAAGGCTTTACATAATAAGACATCCTTCTGTTTTTGGACCCTTGCAGCAGATAAAAAACTCCCTAAAATGCAGGCAATACTAGTTGGAAAACAACTTTTAATTGCTGGCAATTGTCTGGTTTTAACAGAAACTTAAATAGGTCATTTTAAAATCCATATATAAACAACTATATTTTACTGCCGTGTATTTAAAATGAAGTATAGGCAACATAAAAACAATTATTTATACAGCCTTCTATGGTTTTACCCAAGGAGGTTATGGCAATTTGCTAATTTGAAAAAAGGCATAAAAAGGTATATCCGTAGTGGGTGGAGAAAACTTTTAGTGTGTGGAAATGAGTGTCAGTTTTTTTGTTTTTTTTTTTCTTTACAGAGGACTTTATAAGTTTAAACGAACAAGACACGTTTTGAGCCTTGTTCATCAAATAACTTATCAGGTTGAGCAAACAAAGATAAAATTATATAAATTATATTATAAAAAAATACATAAATACAACAAAACAAAAAAATATACGCAATTATACAATATAAAATACAAACAAAGCAAAACAGATTTATTTGCATTAAATTTGACTTATAGCCCCAACATCCGGTATGGCGACTTGCCTTCAAAATAAAAGCGGAAAGCTCTGGAATTCATGACAAGTGACACGACATAGCATAGCAAAACAAAATGCTATAAAAAATCAACTTCATATTATGGTTATCTGACGATAGACGTTCTAAATACCTCATGTTAGCGATATATGTGCGCTATGATCGGAATATGCGCTTTATACTGAAATGTGATGAGTGGAAGTTCGTGTACTAGTGTAGTCACCATGACTTGACAATCCGTCCTGAGACCCCTCAGAGCCGAAATGAGCCCACGCTACTACCGTTAGTCAACACCTACACTTGACAGGTGTATGCGTTAGTCGTTAAAATGTTATGACCGACACCGTGAGACAGCTGTCAGACTAAAACGTCCACAGTTAGCTCAAGTTTTAACCGTCCTTGCTGTCGTGTCGCGGTAACGGTTAGCTTAATATGTGGGTTTTCGGTTACGGGTCTCTGATATGGAAAGTGGATTTTCCTTACGAGGAAAAGAGAATTGGTTACATTAAAGGCTTCAGCCGTCGGTTTTGGCAAGGCAGTACCGACCACCGGGGAGTACCGGGTAAGGTGAGTGTTCTTGGGCTTACTGCTGTTTACTGGTCGCAGTAACTGATGTGAGTTTGCCATGTCTGTGGGCTCAGGGTTGCCTTATCAAATGGGGCAAAAACAAGTGAAAGCAGTATATAAAAGAGCTCCGTTAATGTTAAACGTCTAGACAAGAATTTAGTGGTTTAGCTACTGAACAGTTTTTAGTAAATCACCGAATTTTAATTATATATCTGTTCACATTTGACCTGTAGCTACCCATTAAATAAACAACAGTATGTGGTTAAACAGTAACACTGCTATTAGCATCACGTGACTGCTAAGTTAGGATGAAGTCAGCTAATTTGGGGCAGTGATTTTTGGGGGGAGATTACAAAGAAATCCAAATGATACTACCTTGGTTGTTAATTTAATGACTTGTCATGGTTCTCTGCTATATTTCTATAAAAGAAATTAAGCCGCCAAGTAAAGTAATATAGAAGCTTTGGACCTTAAGATACATGACATGTTACATGATGTCCATTATCCATCTTTTAAAAATAGATCTCATACAGCAAGTCATTGGGTTGTTTTTTCAGATATCCCTTTATGTTTTTTTTGTCATTTTTGGCTATTAATAAGTTAACATTACTCCTTATTCATAACACTGTATACACCACTGTAGCTTGTATTATTCCCATAATCTGTTTTGTTGACGTAAGTATGGGAATTGCATATGTTTTCATAAGAGAACTTAACGTAATCCTACTTAATTGCCGTACTGTGTGTGTCTTCGCTGCTGTCCCTAAGTGCTTGTTCTCTGTCTGTGTCCATTACAGCCTGGCCGGGTGGTGACACTAGTGGAGGATCCTGAGGTAAGACCGTAGAAAGGGAGAGGCTAAACTTAATGGTACAATACATTATTTTGTAATAGAGCTGCACATAATGATTAATTTCACTGTCTGTTACTTTGCCAATTACTTTCCCCATTAATTGTTTCATCTAGCAAATGGTGAAAAATGTCCATCCCACTTCCCCAGAGCCTGTGGTGATGTCTTCAGATGTCGTTATGTCCAAGCAACACCAAAACCTAATTTAGTCTGTTTGCAATGATATAAAGATGAGAATTGGAGAAAATACTCAAACTGGAGAAGCTGGGACCAGCAAATATCATGTATGTATATATATATACATATATATATATATGTATATATATATTAAGGATAGACCGATACATCGGCCGGCCGATATATTGGGCCGATATTTGAGTTTTTTACTTGTATCGGCATCGGCCGATACGCGCATGGGTTTGCGGATTTATTTTTCCCTGGCACTTTTTTTCATTTGAAAGTATGTGGTTAAGTTGAACAAAGCTGTTGAATCCTACTGTTTACAGTAGTTGTTGTTTTATTTATGCTTCAGCTTAAATATTTGTTTATTTTATAAAGACATTACTGGAAGATTTAAGAGCACTGAACTCTTTTTTTATTTGAATGTATAATAATAATAATAATAATATTCTACCTGTTCTACCTCAACTTTCCATCTTGTTTTAGTATTTTTTACTGTTCAATAAATGTTTCTTATTTTAAACTTGAGACCTGTAATATTTGTTATCATGGTGTCATTTTTTTTTTATGTAAATTGAGGGAGCAAAAGCAGTATCGGCCCCAAATATCGGCTCAAGAAAATCGGCAATCCATAATCGGTCATCAGCTAAGGGTGATGGAAAAAAATCGGTATCGGCATCGGCCCTAAAAAATCCATATCGGTCTATCCCTAATATATATGTATATATAACAGTATATATAATAACAGTATATATAATAGTTTGGAAATGATTTGAACGATTAAGTGATCATCAAAATAGTAACTAATATTTGCAGCTCTCCTTTGTGATATATCAGATATGATATATGTTCAACCTTTTTCCCAGCCCATGTGATACCTTGTATAAATTATGGGCTTGACCTCCAATGCTGAACCGGACACCCTAATCCTCTTTCCGAGAGCAGGAAGTAAAACTTGTTAAACAGACCACCTGCTACACCTCAGATGTGACATTGTCATCATACCTCTGCTATCTCTGACAGCCATCTTAAAGCATTGGATGTTTACCTTTTTAACCTAGCACGTTAGTAAAGTAGTGGCAAACTAACTGTAGGAGTTTGTTTTATATTATGTGACAGAAGTACGGCAAATCGGTCATGCCTTCTCAGCGGAGATGACTGAACACATAATTCAAGGTATACCGCTGAGTTTATTCTATATTGGACAATTTTCTAATGTAGGTTGAGAATGCAGTCAGACAGGAAAGACGGGGATATCATGTACTGACATTCAGTGACAGATCTGTTCTTCTAGGTGTCATTTTCTTCCCGAAATTCTGTTTAATACATCTCTGCTCTTGAAACTCTTTTGGTTTTATTATGTCTTGTGTTCCGAGCATGCATATTTAGTGTATGCATTAGAGTTTGGTGTGCATGAAAACACAGGACACAACCCATATTGATTCAGCAGCAGTCTGTGTATTCCAATACCCATACTACCATACTGTATAGTATGCCAGAAAAAGATTTAGTATGGCCCAATAGGTCAAATACAGTATGCGAAAAATACCAGGATGTTCTTCTAGGCCTACATCCAGTCTGATTTCGCAGTTTGCAAGCCAGCGTGCTTTTCTGGCTATTCTGACCTTCAATCGACTGTGCAGTGAAAGATTTGTCATATCGACTGTCAGAAGTCACAGTGACAGTGCATTCAGGTGACTGATGACCAGTTGATTAGTAATAATAGGAATATTAAATGTTTAATTGAATAAAATAATCATAAATATAACCAACGAATATTAAATAAGAGTGACAGAACTATCGAGAATGTAATATGTGAGAATCTACAATGTATGCAGTTATTACTTTTTGCGAAATAAAAACATCAGAGCTGTTCGGGTTGACCTTTGTCTCGTCATTTTGTTTTATCTCCATGGTAACTGGTATATGAGCAAGAGGGTCAAAGCTCAGGGCATAATGTTATGAGTAAGTAGTACGTCTTGATTGTGTGTATACTGCATGCAACAGTATGTACTTTTTAAGGACCAGGGTTTTCCCTGTCTATCTAAGACAAAGGCGGGCTACCTGGATGATTTTGGCCGCCGCCTTGGTTAAAGCGTGTGTGTGTGCATGAGGGGTGTTTAGATGTAGCATCTTATGCGTTACTTTCATTGAAAACGTGCGTCACGCGCTCTCACAACCCAAAGCGACGCCGTAGCGGCGCACATTTGGTGCAACGTGATTTTTTTTTTCATCCAGTGCACAGCTCCACGGACCTGCTTCCCCCTCCGATGTTGTGTCAGATCCGGGTTCCCCCTCAGGTTGTGTCTCTCCTACTGTTTCCCACGGAGCTCTGCCCCATTTGAAAGGCGAAGGAAGCCCGTATGTGGAAAGACGTCGCCTCTGAGATGTAGAATGTGTATTATAGAAGAGAAACACACATTTCAGGAGCGCTGACTTGTATCATCAGAACAGACATGTCCTCTGATTTTCAGCCTCCTTTCATATTTAATAGAGGCGGCACAATACCTGACAGTAATATTCTCAGCTGTCAGGATGTGCCTGCTGTAAAGGGTAAATATAATCATAGAAGACTGAAAATTACAGGACATGTCTGTTCTGATTATACAAGTCAGCAGTGTAAAGCTCAAGCATGTGGGGGCCTCCTTTCATATTTAATAGAGGGGGGGGACCGTATCTAAAAGTTCAGCTGTCAAGATGCCCCCCGCCACAGGCCTTTGCCACCTTGCTCTCGAAAAAACCCAGAGAAAACCCTGCAGGACAGCTACAGTGCGGCACCAAGTGTGTGTGGTTTTTTTTAATACCACATGATCCGGTATAAACGGGACAGGTGCCAGTGTGTTCCTCTCTGTAGATAGGCGATGAAAAATGTATACTTGGTTACAGGAACCGTACCTTTTTTATCCAGGTGCATGCCACAAATATAGCTTAGGCTAGCTATTAGTAAGATTTCAGATGCGGACAGTGCGACAGGTACCAGTTTAGTAAAATATCTGTTAAAAAACAAAGCAGTATTTGCTAAATTGAAGGCTACTGCTTTGGAAACGGACCGCCATTTGCACTTAGTCTCCAAGATTAGCCACTGGGACTAACAGTAGACAATCAATGTGACTCAGTAGGTCACTGCTACTTCTGCTACCTCACCAGAAGTTGCACCCACAACCAATTCTACAGTAGCTTCACCCATGCTTTTATTACAATACCTTAATTATTATAAAAAAAATGCCATTTTAAATGGTTGGGTATCCTATTTAAAGTGATAGAATTCTTTATGATACTAATCACAATTGACATATTTGCTATGAATGTGGTGTTTTTATGACACGACGAATCATGTTAAGGGGAAAAGCAAACAAAATGTCATGTTATTCATACAATAATAACAGCTTGTCACTACCTGAGGGTCATAAATCATCCAACTTGTTATTTATCACTGTATTATTGGGTATGAAACTAACAAAAATATGCAGCATGAATGCCAACAAACACCAAGACAATGGAAATGAGATTCTGTGTACAAAACAGAGTTTATAAATTGCACATTATCCAGTTTTTCCAGATTATATAGAAAATTATACAGCTATACTAAAGCTTACAGTGGACTGCCATAATATTATGGATGTCTTATTGATCAGCATATACGCGTGACAAGAGACAAAGACACGTGCTGATCAAGGTGAACTAGAGTGCGGAGGAGGAGATGGCATCTTGTACAGTAGAAACAAAGCAAAGGACAGTCTATTGTATTCTGACCTTGGATGACAGATGATTTGTCGCAGTAGATGGGAAAGAGATAGGGAGATGCAGAGTGTGTGATGTAGCGAGAACATGGTAAGCATCTGGAAAACATGTACTTAGAGGTGACTGATGAGTATCTTAAAAATGTTACTGATAAAGTCAAAATCATTGTTCAAACGGTATGTCAGTGAAACAGTAACAGATTATTTACATTACTGATTATTCTGCAGATTCTTTTCTTGATTAATCTATTAATTGCTTCCTCAGAAAATAGTAAAATATGCTTATTGTAGTCTCCCAGAGTCCAATTTGATGTCTTCAGATTGCTTGCTTTTTTTTTCAATCAACAGTCCAATACACAAAGATGTTTACTGAAATCTGATAGAAACAAAAGAGAAACAGTAAATATTCGGCGACACTCATGGCCAGAGGCATTATGTTTACAGGCTGTCCGTCTGTCCATCTATCCATCCATTCATCTGTCTCATTCTCATGAACGCAGTATTTCAAGAACACCTTGAGGGAATTTTCTTCAAATTCGGCACAATTGTTAACTTGGACTCAGCGATGAGCTGATTAGAATTTGGTGGTCAAAGGTCAATGTCACTGTGACCTTGTATCCATCTCATTCTTGTGAGTGCAATTTCTCAGGAAGGTCTTCGAGGGAATTGCTTAAAATTTGGCTTTTGGCCATTACTCAAGAATTCATACTCTGATAAAGTCATTATTACACACAGATGTCTAATAGGATATAATGATGAAGTGATGACATTTTAATATCCAAAAGGTCAAAGGTCAGCTTAACTGTGGCATAGGGGTGGGCAATATGGCCCCAAAATAATATCACGATAGTTCAGGGTATTTTTCCGATAACAGTATTCTTAGGGCTGTACCCAAATATTCGAATATTCGTTTCTATGGGTAGGTATTCGTTATGAAAATTCGGTATT